TTTGAATATTACATGTTAATAACTTGATTGGAATTATAACCTTGAGTTGACAGTTTGATACTTTGAAAATTTTGAGCCAGCCCTACCCCCAAGGGCTGTAGGGTGGGGCTCAAGGGAGTCAGTGTGCTAAAATTTCTTCATTTTCCTTGTTTAGAATCAGAGGTGCTAGTTTCAAATCCTTTTTAGTCTGAAATCTGTATGCTTGATATTGAATAAGGTGGTTTTATTGTTTTTTGTCACTTTGAATAATATTTCTGTTCATGTTAAAAACGAAATCAACTCTCTGTATAAATATATCAGGTGACCGTTAAGGCCCATGGGCCTCTTGTATAGGAAAAGTTGACGGACGGACGACGGACCAGGTGAGCTAAAAATTGAGTCCCCCTTTGCCAAATCATGCTCTACACCAAATTTGGTTAAAATTCCTCCAATGAACAGAAACAGAGGGATTTTAAAGATGAACCTCAATATCCCCAAATGGGCTTCTTTTTATCTAAACTATGCACAATAAAGAAATGTTCATACCTTCAGGAAAACGCACTCATGCTTCGGATGGAGTCCATTAAAGTCTTGGAACCCAACATCGTACTGTAAGAGAAATGTACAATGTCATATAAACACAATTTACGCATTGATATCTCAAAATAAAGTGATAATTATAAATTTGCCGTCGTTGCAAAGGGCAAAAAAGGCAAAAATTATACTGTAGCAAATATTTCCAGGTATACAGTAATTATATCTCTAATAACAACAGTTTCCTTGTTTCACAATAGATACAAGTGTTTTTGGCTGGTGGTGGGGATGGGTTGGTGATAAACAATGCCTTGTAGTATCTATTTAGACCTACACAATGTTCAGTTATTGAAAGAGCAAGATGAAAGATACTGCAGATAGACAGATAACTGAACAGATGTATGAAAATATGCACACAGTAGGAAATGTTGGAAACAAAAGCACCATAAGCAGGTGCACGATACACCAAGGTAGACCTCATTCAAGCTTTCTTGAGTATTGACTTGGTTACCATGAATTAAGCATTCATACATCTATTAAGGTAGGTGACAAACATCCATCTCAAGTAGTATTAGTATTCAAGACAATAAAGTAGAGGAAACTATCAAATGTTGACGGATAAAACAATATTGAAATGAGACTATTTTTTGGCCTTCTGTTGTCCATGACATTGATCTTTGACCTTGTGATGCATCAAGACATGTCTTTAAATTAAGGCAGGAGAGTCATGATAATGACTGACTTAATGGATTATGCAGGGTGTAACACGTACTATACATCAGGTTGTTAACTGGATATAATAATCAAAGAAGATGGACAATCAGCAAATAGGTGAACAGCAGAGATACCAGCAGAAAAACTTCCAAGAGAAAAATGTGCAAAGATCAACAATCAAGTGAAACTGAACAAAAGACATCCCAACATGTGACAAGGTACTAAAGAGAAAGTGTGGACAAAGTTCTATACAGATAATAAAGGGCCATAACAACACTGGTGAAATTAACACACCTCAGACTCCATTTTGCCAAGATATGCTCTCAAGATGCACAAGTAGTAAGTTTGGTTAACATAAGTGAAAGAACAAGGAAGGCTGTTTTAAATACTAAATCATCAAAGGATTATTGCTGTGCAGGGCGGTGCAGAAGACCTGGGACAAGATTCCTGGAAACATTCTCATGCCTCCTAAACTATCTTTCTTGTTACTTGTTTGAATAATGTAACATGCTTAAAAAGACAAATGTTAACAATGAAATTGATCTCATAAGAATTCCTCCAAAACACTTACAAATGTGAAGCTTATTAATTTATCAGCTAAGCAAGATATTGGACTTGAGCACAGAATCTGAGTTTGAGCTTGAGAACGGATTCATTAATACTGATACTGGCCCAGGTCTTGTATTCATGAAACTGTTATCATGCTAAAGTGTCGTGTCAATTCTCTGCTTGCACCAATTGTCTTATCACTTGCTTAAATCATCTGACATGGCAAAAAAGTAAAGTCTATTTATTGTTTTTGTTTTCAATATATCACAGGAACCAAAAAATAATTCAAAACAAATTGGGCAGGAGCACACAATCTGAATTTGAGCATGAAAACGGTTTCATAAATACAGGCCCTGAAAGCAAAATTAATTCTATTGAAACAAGAAGACTACTTGTCAGAACGGTAAAACAAGTGTCAAAATTAGGTTGGATGAAAATTGGTATGTAAAATCATCAACAGACTGTAATTGAAGCAAAAACTGAAAAATATAAATAACAGCACCAAATCAGCTCCCACTGTCATTTTCACCTTTTTTTTTAACATTGTTATTTACCTCAGTGTGAAGAAAGTGAAACCAAACGAAACATGATGGTGTCTCAGTGCCACCTCCAGGCACGTCCCCCGTGTCCTTCATGAAAGAATCTTATGAGAGCAACTACATTTATAGATAGGATTAAATACTCAGGTCTTAACTGAATATGATGACCAATTTTGATGAAATTATTTTTCAAAATTTTAGCTACATTCAAGGTAAATGTTTAAGGGAATAGAAATTAACTGCAATGAATATTTTACTTCCTAATTTTTATAATGAATTCCAAATGTCATTAATGTCAATGACCTCCTATGGACCGGAGGCCTATGGAAAGAGATTACTTAAGGGCGACGATCTCTGCGCCCTGGACGGCTCCTCCTCCGGGAGAGATCGGGAAGGGCGACGATCTCTGCGCCCTGGACGGCTCCTCCTCCGGGAGAGATCGGGAAGGGCGACGATCTCTGCGCCCTTGTTGGCACCTCCTCTAAAAATGCACAACAATATACTTGATTATGTTATGCTCAATGAACAGGTACTTAATTGAATGAATTGTTTCGTAGCACTGGTCTACATTTAATCAATTTTAATAGATTTGGATGTATTTATCTGAAAGTTTTCATATATACACTTTACTAAGCAGACAGTAACTAAACTGAATACATAGTACATTTCTACTTTTAAAGACCAGCTGTATAGTATATATTACCTTTATTGAATCTTTTTTGTGAGGATTATTATGTGCAACTAATACAGTTTGAATTTCTCAATGTTACCAAGATCAAGATTTACATGTAGCCATCATTGATATGTAAGTATTGATATAGAAAATGTTTGTAAAATATACATATGCCGATTTGATGGAAATGGGGCTAACCAAATTTAATGTATATAGCAGAATGCAAGGTGTAACCAAGTTCGTGAAGTGGATAATACAGTCAATATTGTCATACAATTATTAATGAACTGTTCTCATGCAATTTTTTTACCCTCCTCTGGAGGCTTGCAGGCCATCCTATTCCGTCCATCAGATATTCTGGACCAGATGACCTTTACCCTAGTCAGACTTTCCGACGCGAGAGGTACTGTTGCCAAAATTGATTTATTCTAGTTCAGTTGCTCTCATCCATCAAGTCACAAGAGAATTGAACCCCAGCTCGGAAATAACCAATATGAAGCACTTGACTCAGTATGATCACATGTTCCCCTCAGGACTATCATGGAGGGGTACATGATATCGGATCCCCACATATAATTATAAAGATCCTTGTACCTCAATGTTGACGCTGTGTGGCTGTTGTATCAAGGGTACTAGCCTCGTCTGTCAACACACCGTTACTATAATCAAAGTTTATATTATAGGTGTATTGAAAGACGAGGCTAGTACCTTTGGTCCTGAAATATGTCAGCAAAATTGAAGGCACGCGGCTAGCTATTTGATTGGTGTCAGGTAAAACAATCCTGACCAATCAGTAGGCTGATGCAGATATAACAGAGGAGCAACACCCGACTTCAAAGCCTCAATTTTACCGTTCATAATTTTGTACATCAAAGGATCAATTTTACCGTTACGCGGTAGTGAGATTCTTTTGAGGTATATCAAAGGCTCGTCTCGTCTACAGGATCCTTAGATTTAGCGATGACATATTTCAGGGGTGTAGAGAGCGAAAGTGAGCATAACCCCCTGAATATCGAGGTTGCTGTTATATGGAAGTGTTTTTTGTCATTTTTCTGGTGATTAAAGTCTTCGTTCGGAAGTACTTGTGTACTTACATGGAATGACTCCCAGTAAACATATTATTCATAACCATTGTGATTAGATTCAGTAGTGGAACCCACTTGGATTTAAATTCATCAATAATGATATGCAACGCCACCCTCGATCGCTTAACAGAGATAAAAACATATACGTAATTAGTCGCAGAAAACTTAAAAAAAAATCCATATACGCGTAGACTATACATTTTATGGATGTATGCCTGATGTGCATCAGGAAGCACGCCTGTCAGCCGATAGTCGTCCCTGAAGTAAATGCAGTAAACTGTAACACATCCAATGATCAATTGAATTAAATTTGAATCACTAATTATTCCATGAATAGATATATATATATCTTTCTAAAGTTAATTACATGTTTAATAATTCGGAAGAAAAAAAGAAAAAAAAGAAGAAATTACGCAAAATATTTTCATCAACCAATGTAAATTATTAAAATAATACACATACACAAACAATTGATTAAATTAAAAAGCAAACAAAAAGAGGTCAACGAACGGACTTGCTTTTTTTAACCTACATGTTTGCCAATCAACCGACATAAAATGACCCGCATGGGTATTTTCTAGAATAACGAGCATTATTGTAAATTCAACAGAAACAAAGTTAGGCCATCAACGATACACATGAATATCTGAGAAACTATCAGCAGCAGAAAATATTTTTAGAATGCAGGTTCCCCGGCAGCACACTGCATTAAAATGTTTAAAAAGATGTCTTTTATTTTACTCTTTACGACCAAATCATTTTGGCAGAAAAGTTGAGGTTGAAGTTTTTACTGAAGTGTTATCGTTCGTTAATATAATTTCAATATTTGTCACCCCTGCAGGTCGGAGATCGAGAAAACACAATATACCAGCTGTTACCCACTGCAAGTATCGTTAGAGGCGACTGATGTGGGAACCCCCTGAACAATTTGGGGTTTACTTTCGTGCCCTCTACTTGGGGACACAAAAGCGACCAAAATAAATCTGCTGCACCCATTGCAACATTTGGAATCTTTATCTTTCTTTTAAATTCTATTTACCTTTTATTTTTTAGCGCCTTGCTTGGCCCAGGTGAAGAAGGCAATGGGTTCTGTCCCCAGGCCAGACATACCAAAGTTCTTAAAAATGGTAGTTGTTATTCCCTTCTTAACGTTCAGCATTTAGGATAATGGCAACAACTGGTTTTCCCGTTGTTAGTATAATGTGACCGGGCAGAATGATGTGCTTGTTTCCTTCGGCATGGTATTTCAGTGAGAAAACATGATGAAATATCAGCGTACAATCAAGTGGTAGTATACCTTAGGTAATAATTAATATATCTCTTTTCAACAAACACCGGAATTTATGTGTTTCTGTTCCTCCCTGTCGCACACGACAAATACAAATTAACACCGACGAAGTTTCAGTTCTCAACGGCTGATTAGTTTAACGGGTTCAACGTTGTATATTCATTTATTTATCATTCTTTTTACTTTTCCTAATTCTTCATATTATCATTTTAAGTTATTATTGGGGAAAACATATTTGAACATTTAAACTTTTCATTGTTTCTTCCTTTACTTCCTTCTTTAAATCATCATTTTGAGTTCCCATACTTGTAGTTACAGTTTTGCATGTTAACCCGTTCGAAAACGTTGCGTCTACTGTTTGTTATAGTATGGAACAATATAAACAGCTTAATGAAAATTAAAATGTAACTGTCCTAGGAGAATAATAAAGTTCACTAAATATATTTATTTTATCACTTAATCCTTCAAATAGGCATTTAACCTTTTCGAAATTGAATTTTTTATAACCATTTTGTCAAGTTCATGTTGTTTGTGAGTCCCAGGGAGGGGGGGGGGGGCGGTCTTCATTCAGGTCAGCAAATGACATACGTCATAACGAGATAGCCGTTATGGATGTTTGAACATTACTCTTAAAATAATATACGGCAACAACCGATAGGCAAGTGTAGTCATCAATATTAATCATTGTAAACCGACAGTGTTATATCCCTATGGTATGCTGAGAAGTTGAACAGTTCGATAACACATCCAAGCAACTCGGAACGACTTCTAGGTATAAGCACATAACAGAAGGAAACATGAATGACAGTACTCGGATGAAGCAGACAGTTTTTCATCTTGGTGTGTTTTTAGTGGTCGGAGTCTTACAGACTGGTAATTATGTAGAAGGTTAAGTATGCTTTTATAATTATATACTTTTGTTAATGATAATTAAAAATTGACTCAGAGTTATGCTAGTATCACAACAGAGCTGACACAAGCCATTTCATATATTGTTTTTAAATTTGCTGTTACAACACAGCAAACAAAATTCATTGTGTATATTAGTCTTAAGATTTGCTATTTCACTATATCAAGCACAAATATTTTTGTAGATTGATTTTCAAACTTAGTCATTAACACAAATGTATTTTGTATATTGATTTTAAGTTTGTCTATTACAATAAACCAAACACAAGTCCTTTTGTATATTGGAACTACGCTTGGCTGTTACAACATAGCAAACATAATTCAGTTCGTACATTAATGTTACACTTGGTCCGTTTTTGTTTAAACGGTTGAACCGGTCGGACCACAGTTGTTCGTTTAATAAATAAGGTCGGACCTAGTAATCTGATGCTGCTTTCAGGCGAGCCTTGACAAAGCCTTGCAAGGCCTGCATAAACATTTGAAGGTCCGCCAACATTTATATCCGAAATTGTTACATTTACAAACGGACAAGCCGGTTGTTCCGCATAAACGAACAGGTCTTTGGCTTTTACAATAGAGTAAACAGTCATTTTTTATTTTATTTATATAAGCCTTAAAGTTTTACAAGAAAACATCAAAAAGTTCTTGTATGATTATCACTAGAAATAGGAAGAAGGAAACACCTGCTTGAAAATGTTGTTTTTAAATGGTTTGGTTTAGCTTAGTATTGTTTAACGTCCTACATTGTATCAACAGCTATGGTCATTTAAGGACGCTCGCCCTTGTGTGTAAGAAGCATGCGTGTAGTGTATGCGTGTGTGTTTTGGGGGGCTGCGATATGTTCGTGTTTGTCTCCTTGTGATAGCGCGGAACTGATGCTGACTTTATAGTGCTACCTCACTGAAACATACTGCCGAAGACACCCAGCAGGGCACCCCACTTGATCACATTATACTGACAACGGGCGAACTAGTCGTCCCATTCCTAAATTGCTGAGCGTTAAGCAGGGGTAGAAACTACCCTTTGTACAGAATCTGGTATGTCTCGGCCAGGGGACAGAACCCTAAGCCTTCCTCAAAGGGGCGAACGCTCAACTAAAGGTCAAAAGTGAGGCATTGTCAAGGAAGACATTAGGAAGAAGAAAGTCTTTTAGAAAGAAAGAAAAGATAAGATCCCAAATTTAGTCGTCTGCAGAAAATCAAACAAAATAAACAGTTAAATGCACCATACGTCCATTTTGTCCATTTGATACCATAAGTTAATGGAATGACATTTGCTGTCTCTCAAGTATTCAGAAACAGATGTAAAAAAGGGAAAGGTGTTAATGAAACATCTGTTAACGTTACAAATTTGCAACTTTTAAGCTACGTTCAACATATTATTATACTTTACTAGTATTTACGTAAACCGTACTAGGAAACGAGCCATTCGGATTGATATGTTTCGTCTGTGCCCCGCTTGGCCATCAATGCACATATCGGTGAAATAAATTCAATGTAGACGACATTTGAAACTAACTTAAACGCAAAACCTAATGTTGATGGAGATGCTGACAAGTCAATGGACTATGAAAGGTAGGCAGCATCCAGCATTTGATGCATGGGTTGAGATTTACTACCTAAGATGCATCCCTGGTCCAAGTTTGGTTGGTCTAGCAGTTATACTTTCAGTGAAACTAACTTAAACGCATAAACTTAACGTTGACGCTGCGGTCGCCGGAAAAGCAAGACTTTAGTCTCGCTACCGCTACTTCGTGGCGACGAGACAGAAACTAGTGTTATTTAGTCTTTCAATTAGTTTTTACAATAAATCGAACACAATCCATTTTGTATAATAATAACTATTTGATGTTCATTCGAATTCCTAAATTTTAAGTTTGTTTTGAACACCAACAGTTATCAACAATTTATTTTGCGGGCTTTTGAAAACGTCTGTTTCCTTTGTCAGGCAAAAAGTGCAATTACAGTTCGTGTTCAAAACAAACTGGGCTTTATTTATACCAAACCGATGAATCTCATGCCTAATTTGAATTCCTATCACAGGTAAAATTAATTGTATACTATTGTGACTTGTAGGAATTAGAGTATAACGTTCACAAATACCGTCCGTATGTAACAAAATAAGACAAACTTAATTTTTAACATCACTAAGTCTACCTATCCTATGACATAGGAGGCCGCTGGCTGTCAAAAATATCTCGCCGTGTAAACCTCTAACACTGTTGGAGTATAAGTCTACCGAGAAAACATAAGCCAGTGTAATAACAAATGAATCTTAGAAATAACAACGTATACAAATTGTGCATACGAAGTCTGCAGTAATATCATACGAGGATAGTGGGGCATGTCGTGGAAGTACGGACTGAGATAGAATCCCGTGGTGTTAGATTTAAAAAGAATACTAACACTTCAAGGAGTTTCCAGTGTTTTTCCTGAAATGATTCGGCGATTCGAGCGGTTCGTGCGATTCTTTGAATATATTACCACATCACCGCCAAGGCAGGTGACTTTTGGGTTCATTTTGATATTATATACGTATTTCCGTAATGTGTAAATACTTGCATGATAATTACATCAGTTATTACTAAGTTGAATACTTGAATGAGTTTAAAGACGGTGAGATCTTTGCCTGTGAGTTTACGATCTAATAACAGTTATGGTCATTTAAGGACGTGCAGGGTTTTCGTAGTGGAGGAAAGCCGGAGTTCTCGGAGAAAAAACAACCGACCTTCCGCAAGTATTTGGCAACTTTGTGGGCAAGCAAAGGATATCGCTCCATTTGATCGAATTATGGCTTAGCTTTCTTACAAAAATACCTAAGTTGGGTGTGCTACTTTCATTATGCTACTGCTGTCACAGAAAGTGGGTGCACAATATATGTAGATTTAAATTCTTGCTCGAGGCTTGGCGAAATATCAATTTATCATATGAATATTCATCTTCGAAAAGCAATGGATCCGCTCTCGATTAACTTTTCTTCTCTGCATCTTAAAATATATCGTAGGTAAAAAGAAGGCTTGCGTAAATTCTTTTTTTTTGGTTTTTGTAAGTTTAACTAATGTATATGATAATTGTATTGATTGTATACATTGTATATCTTTGTACTGTAAAGCGCTTTCGAGTTGCTATTTCTTTCTAGATAGGGCGCTATATCAAATGTTGTAACGGTCGACTGAGTTGTAATACATTGTTATTTGTGATGTTGTGTGACAAAAATACACTTAATCCAAAAAAACGTTTTTTTTTTATGGTGGATTTCCTGCAAAAAAAAGGGTTTGAGAATGACCAAAATTTTCCATATAGAAAGCGGTTGATTGTCTGAAAAAAAGAAATAAATAAACAATACAATGTATCCAATTCAAATGTCTGCGACAAATGTATGATTAAGTCATTATTTGTGTACAAGCAAAGCATATCGCTCTGACATATGTACAAAATATGCAGATTAAAATTCCTGCTCGAGGATTGGAAAAAAAATCTTTGAATAAAAGCAGAAGGACATGTAATATGCTAAAGTCACTGAAAAGCTTTCCTTTAATTCTTGTAAGGCCGGTGTAATGTTTAATGTTTTTCGTGTTACCGATTTAAATAGTTCATATAATCCAAATCACAGGCAAAATCCCGCAGTCTTCAAACGCCGTCTTAATATAACATAGTCAAATATATCTCCTCCCCAAGGGGGAAACGGTTGGCCGAGGGATATTGAAATTCACAATTTTGATAAAGCATCTCAGGATGTTTCCTTTCAATGAAGAGGTTTTGATTCTAGCATACATAGTCTAAAGAAGAAAATGGTTTAAATGTTAGTCAATATGCTCGTCCCTCAGGCCCCTGGGGTGGGTCAGGTCAAATTCCACGCCGTCAAACTTCAATCACATGCTAATCATTACAACCAAGTTTTATGAAATCAAAAAAGTTAATTGTTAACGGACGAATGACAGACAACGGACGACACCCGACAACCGACAAAAGGCGATCTCAATAGGTCATTTAAAACTTCTCAGTTGACCTAAAACCTTGACCAATTTCTAAGCTGATACCTGTTCTTCGAAGGTTACAGATGCAAAACACCCAACTTTAAAGACAGTCGATGTTACTGTTACGCTGTTATCTCTTTGATGTTCATCCAAGGCACCAGACTAGTCTGTATATATCATCATGGCTAGATAAGAACTCGTCTATTTTGATGACTTTATTTGTAAGTCACAAATGATGGGAAATCTAAAATACAGGAAAGCACAAGTTGTATTACATATGTCTGTATTATTCTCTAATCGATTTGCTTTAACCCTTTCACCCCTTTGTAGCTTTGATAAACTCTACTATGCTTTGATCTGAATAATTTCATTACGGTCTACGGTGGTGAAGGGTTAATAGCCTTCAATTTGTGTGGCATCGGAGGGATAACAACTAACCCTATCATACATCACTTTTTTCCGCCTCCGCTGGGGATCGAACCGAAATTCTTGGGAGAGTGATTGGTCTGAAGCTCACGCTTGATTGCACACAGCAGTAATGGCTGTGCGCGTTAGCGATCATAGTCTCGTTCTACCAGACGCTTGATCACTTGTAACTCTCAGTTCGGCGTAGCTTGCGCAGACAACAAGAGTCTGGTTTAACGAAACATTAGCGATCACGGCTACCGAAGCACCCAAAGATGACAAAATATTAGATACACATCATAAAATAATCATAGGGAGAAAAGTTATAAAGTATGCATGGAAGAAACATGTTAAGAGAAGTAGATTAATAACGATGATATTGTAATCTTGGGCGCGTCTAATTACCCAATACTACCCAATACCACCCAATACTACCCAATACCACCCAATTCTACCCAATACTACCCCATACGATCCAGTTATGAACCAAATACTTCTTTATTACTGTGAAATATCACCTTTGTAGACGTTATTTACTTCCATATGCCATATTTTATCGGGAAATATGCGATTTGGTGCCGAAAACATCACCGAATTGCCGTGACTATGACCCAATACTACCCCATACCACGGAATTAGATTAGATCTAAGTCCGTGCCCATACCACCCAATACTACCCAATACCACCCAATACTACCCCATACGACCAAGTTATGAACCAAATACTTCTTTATTACTGTGAAATGTCACAGTTATTTACTTCTATATGTCACATTCTATCTGGAAATATGCGATTTGGTGCAGAAAACATCACCGAAATGCCGTGACTAGGGGTTCGACGATTTACAGGAACGGGCAGAAATCTATTAATTTTTATATAGGCCTATACATTAATGAATATATATATTAGATCAGAGACGTATATAACACAGTTATGGCTTTATACGTCTCTGATTAGATACATTAAAGTATCATTATCGGGTATAAGATATATTTGATAAAATGATTGCAATTACATGATCGCCATTCGGGGCAGAATCGGACTAAATTATATATATATTTATATTTATATTATTATATCTTTTTTATCGGGTACAAGATACGTCATTTGATAAAAGGATTGCAAAGAATTTAAAAAAAAGTATTGTATTGATATGGATCGGGCAAGAACGGTCGACGATTTACAGGAACGGACAGAAACGGGGCAGGATCGGACTTATTTATATATATTTATTGTATATATTTAATTATCCTTATCTGGTATAAGGTATATTTGATAAAAGAATTGCAATTACAGGAACGGGGCAGGATCGGACTAAATATATATATATATATATATATATTGCCAGGCCGAGGTTCCAATTTATGTCTCTGTTTTATTCTATAAAAAAGGGTTGTTCAGAGAATTATATATTACATATTACATATATAATAAATATGTATCTGAGTTATTTTCTCATTTATATATATGACATTGTTATTGCAATGTCATAACACCTGAAACATTGGAAATGACATTATGATAACTAAATTTTAATAACTTCATAACTTATACTCAACTCTTAATAAATAGCATGAATATATTTTGAGTGAATTAATTGGTGTTAATGTGTAGATTACAATCCCATCACGTCTACGATCTTAAAAAAAAGAAAATACGCAATTTTCCAACTCAAAAAAGGGACATCAATCTGAAAATTAAATATTATTCTATATGTAAATATAAGTTAATTGAAATACGTGTTTTACGTAAATAAATATTGAAGTCCATATGTTGGATTGTTAGGCCTTATCTGTTATAGAAAAACGATACTGTATATTAATTGTATATGTAAAGAAGAAAGAAACACGGTGAAACGCTTTAAGTTTCATTTTTTTTCAAAGGCCGATGTGGTCAAAACTGATTATCTAATTCCGTAATAGTAGACAATAGACTTCTTGTTCCAATGTTCAAGCTGGTTTTAGGAAAGGCTACTCTACAACTGAAAATATATTTATCCTTCATGCTTTAATATCTATATACGTTTCAAAAAGTAATTTTGGGGTTTGAAAATACCAATATGATTGAGAAATTACGTGTACAGTTTTGTTAAAGAATTTTAAACATACGTAGCTCCACAGCAAATATAATGGTATATGGTGAAACGGGTAGGTACTCGCTGGATATTGAAATTAAATCTAGAATGATAATGTTTTGGTATAAACTAATTACAGGTGAAAATAAATTGTCTAGTATAATGTACAAGCTTATGCTGAATTTACATAAAAATGATTTCGCTGATTTTAAATGGATTTCATATATCAAGAATCTATTCAATTGCACGGGACTAAGTTTATGTTTAAAATTAGATATTGTACACGGAATTAGATAAAGTCCGTGGTTATGCATTCATATAACTTGATGTTTTTAAAGACTTAAATTTGTTTAAATAAATTTGACGAGTATTTAGTAAGAGTAGATTTACTTTTCACGACCATGTATCTTTAGTATATATTGGAACAAATCTATATTTATACATATTATATCGATAGTTGTTATAAATAAAAAAAAATCCGTAGAATGTTCATGTACGTCAATACGTTTATAACGTTCATTGCATAATAAAATTATTTAAACATTTGTTCTAATTTAGTTGACTACAAGTAATTTTGGGGGAAATCCTCTATTTGCCAATTCTATTCAAAATTTATCTCCGTTTTCGTCGTCATTGCATATCCAATATATATATATATATATATATAGTTAAGTCAAGTCAAGTCAATTTTGTTTATTATAGTGTCATATATCACAATTACATCGTATAAGTATATAGTTACACAGTATAAACACATATAGTTACATAATTTATAATATCATAATTTTGTTAAGAACAGCTATTATACATAATACATTAATAAATTAAAACAAACTATCACATGTGCCAATCCAGAGAGCAGGTGATTGGGACAGCCCCTACCTAACAAACTCCTGGATTTTGTCCTTACATATTACATACTATAATAGTTAAAAGGTTTCTTTTATATTTACTGCCTTAAAACATGATGTCTTTAAAAAAACAATAACAATGGTGATAAATAAAATGAATAATTTCCTAGTTCTACATTGTAGTGAAATTTAGATTTCCAAGGGTTGGGGAGCCCCCTTCCAGCGAGGTCTGCTAAATTCACACTAACTAGTAGCTAATTATATTTAAACGGAAGATTATTTTCATAAAAAAATGTTTCTGATTGACACCTGGTATCATATTTAACAAATGCATTAAATAGAAAATGTAATTGTATATGATGTTCAGCCTAAAATGGCTTACAAGACACTGTTTAAAATTATAACTAATCACATAGACTGCTACGTCTTCTGTACATATTATATAAGTGGTTTGCAAGTGGAATTTGTAATTCCTCGGAAGACATTATAAAATTAAATTATAATATATATATTTACCTGTAACTGTGATTTAGATCACGGACTTAGATGTTAAATAAAATTGCAACATCACGGTATCTACCATGTATCTATAGAGATCACATTTACTTGAGATGGCCAACGAGTTGAATAAAGTATATGTGTATACAGTATCTCTTGGAGTCGAATCAAGTTTTCATGTCATTTAGTATTTTGCTTTCGGATGATCAAAGACGTATATATTACGTAATGTAATATATACGTCTCTGGATTGATGTATAAGAAGCGTAACGTAATTCCTTTTATTAATCTATTTAATTTTTACATTACTTAATGACAACCTACTCGTCTACCCTTCATAAGATTGGTCAGGGAACTATATATGGAAAAAATATCTAGCTTGTCCAAAACAGACTATCTGTGAGTTAATCAAGTAATTGAAAGGACTTCGAATCATATACAATCCATATACTTTTTGAATTTCGTAGTATTTGAGTATCTAATTTAACTGAAGGTTCTTCTCCAGCATTGTTATATAATTGATACTGTTATGTTTAACAAAATTGAATAACTAACATTTATGAAAAGTAATTTAAAATTTTCTAAATATTTCCTGCTAAATTTATATATATGATCTTAATAACACCATTTTATGACATGAATAGAATTAATATAGTATCATGTAATTGCAATTCTTTTATCAAATATATCTTATACCCGATAATGATACTTAAATGTATCTAATTAAATATATATATTCATCAATGTATATATAATAATTAATAGTTTTCTGCCCGATCCTGCCCGTTCCTGTAAATCGTCGAACCCCTAGTCACGGCATTTCGGTGATGTTTTCTGCACCAAATCGCATATGTCCAGATAGGATGTGACATATAGAAGTAAATAACTTCAAGAAATGCGATATTTCACAGTAATAAAGAAGTATTGGGTTCATAACTGGATCGTATGGGGTAGTATTGGGTGGTATGGGGTAGTATTGGGTCATAGTCACGGCAATTCGGTGATGTTTTCGGCACCAAATCGCATATTTCCCGATAAAATATGGCAGATGGAAGTAAATAACGTCTACAAAGGTGATATTTCACAGTAATAAAGAAGTATTTGGTTCATAACTGGATCATATGGGGTAGTATTGGGTAGTATTGGGTGGTATTGGGTAGTATTGGGTAGTATTGGGTGGTATTGGGTAGTATTGGGTGGTATTGGGTAGTATTGGGTAGTATTGGGTAATTAGAGGCGCCGGTAATCTTGGGTATTTGATTTTCCTAATTGACTGGACAGGGAAATTGCTGTGAGAGGTGCATTATTTTCTGTTAACGCTTCACTTAAATAATGTTGACAATACGGATTAGAATATATGATTGCCGGCAGCGAAACCGATGCATTTCGAAGATGATAAATATAAGATGCACGTGAAAAATAAGTTAAGGGAGAAAACGAAAAAGTCTATCTCACAGAAACATATTAAATCGAGCATGGTTAAGGATGATATTGTAATCCCAGGTTTCCATTTACTTTATTGATTCGACAGGAAATTCGCTGTGAGCGATGCATTATTTTATGTTAATACTTAACTAAAAGAATATGAATTAGAATAGCCAGTCGAATAAACTTGTCATGTTGTGATTACAGATGTTATTTCTCTCAGTCACATATATGTAACAAACATGGCGGAGAAGATTAATTCATAGTATTTAATTTTTCAAATATTACTCTTTCTCCCTCCCCTTCTCTATAGCCCTGTTCCCCAACTTTCTACCTCTTCCTTCCTACCTCCCCATTCCCCGTCCTCGTCTCCCTCTCCTTATTTTCCAGGAAACGTCATTCATATTACAGATAGCAAAGATAATAAAGAACAGGTAACCGGCCGGAATACAAATGAAGTATATGTTCACGCTCTCTTTCCATCGGTGATTACGGGAAGTCTTTATCAGACCCTATGGGTCATTGTAGGTTTATACAAAATTAATGAAGAATAACGTGACGATTCTATCTATCACATCTATAGTTGATGAACACCACAGGATGTGGTAGCTGCTGGTGAGATAAAACTTTACTCTTTATGACTTCTTTGAATTCTTGGTCCGTTGGGAGATTTCCAACCATACATAGTCTTGCAAATGTTCCAGATAAATTTTTAAGTGGCAATTCACATTTAGATCCTTATTAAATATTTTAAAAAGTTTCTGATATATCGATAATGACTTTTACTTCAAACACGATGTTTAATTAATATTTATGAGGAAAGTCTATTGCTGAAATCAATATATTATAGACGCATAAAATAGAAACGCGTTGCAAAACCGAGGCAACAGAAAAGGACAGACATACTCTGTTTATTATATCTTTTCCTACTTGCAAATTATGAAGATTCGTTATTTTAAAAAATATATCAATAATGCTCAAAATACTGACATCTTATAAGTATTGCCTAAATTAATTTTAGCGAAGTTTAAAATATGTTTTGTAGAAATGTCGCTTTTAGGAGTTATAAACTCAAACGCGTTATTGGGACAATCAAATCGAGAAAAATAAATAAATCTGTCATAAAGTAAATTGATATGCTTAAAAGAAATTGAAATACTTTTTGAAGTATATTCTTAATTTGGTAAAATAAGAATATGCTTTTGAACAATGGGATTGATGCAATGTTCATAAATCCCAATACAGAACAAAAGCACACCAACACACCTCTCGTATGCTGATATATTTGTTTATCGTTGTTATTCATAGTTTGTTTTATCGTATGATACGTACAATGAAGTGATTCAATTTCAATTTCAACAAATTTTATTGACAATATAAGCAATAGTCAATAGGATCAGACATCAGGCATAGCCTATCTAAGTCCTCTCCTTAAAGTGACAACAGGTGGTAAGAAACACAGACATATATTTGTACATTGATATGATGTTTGGGATAAGGGGAAGTAACTCCTTGATGTAAACAGACTTGTTCAGTATTCTTGAGATATAGTAACCCTTTCACTAGGGATATTTAATTTGAGATATTTACTAGACTATTATCTTCAGTGAATAGTATCAAGTATCTGACAATGAGTTACTGGTATTCATATAAGGTAAACTGTTGGGTATAAATATTTGGTGATATTGGATTTATTCCCTCAACAGATACAGGCCATACAGTCCATATGTATAACACACTAGCCATCACACACTGTTAAGGATCAAAAGCCAATTTCAGCAAATAGATATATAATTTGTAAGTAGGGCTACACCAACTCCTGTAAGTAAAGTAGTAATTCTTTAATTAAATTGAAAGGAGTTACTCCATATCTTGATGTAAGCTTAAAAAAGAAGAAGAAAATAGAAAACATAAAATACACACAAAAAACACACAAAAATACACACAAAAATACACACACAAAAAAAGAAAGAAAAAACCCATCTAAGCTGCCCAGAGCCAATTTCATTCAATAGGTGTATATATACCAGCTAAATTAGTAATTATCAAAGGTAGAATAAAGTATCTAATTAATTCCATATTATATTACATTAGATATATCTTGTACTACTATATCATTGTAGTTCACTGTGGGAGGTATAAAGCTTTTATACATATAACTTGAAAGAAAATAAAAAGAATAAAAGAATAAAAAATAAATAAAAATGTAAGAATGTATAATTATGTTCCAAAAAATAGTAAGGGTAAGTCAAATATTATATTAATGAAAATCTTTTTGATTGCGATATAAAGTTTGATACATGAGATAAGATATCTCTATTTTGTAAATCATTACAACTATTACAACCATTTATTAGGACATTTATACACAGATGATTGTGAGTGTGATGATTCAAACTCCGTTGGAGAGTCTGGCGAATATTATTATATTGATTACATTCAGAAAAATAATGTGCAGCAGTTTCGAAAGATCCGTTACACTCACACATTGGAGATTCAATTAAGTGATCTTTATAACGATCATAATTTAGATTACTAGCATTATTTCTTAATTGGCAAAGTATAATGTTTACATCACGATTGCCAAAGTATTTAAAAACATCATTTGTTTCAGATTTCATATATTGCTTTGTAGTTAGTAACCTTTTTAACTGTGTGGTAGATTGGATGCTAGTAATATCTGGGGCAAGTCTATTCATTTCATTTAGCATGGACGGAAAAAAACTTTCAAAATATTTTACAGTACGACATAAAGGGGGGTCAAATAATCTGTTTGTTCGGAGGGGATATCTGTCAAGGGTTTCATCATGAATATATGGTTGAATAATTTCTCTTAGGTAATCTGGGGTTTCATTATTCATTATTCTATACATTAAAATTAGTTTATGTTTATTTCTTCTGCAGCTCAAAGTTTCCCATCCTAATTCCTTGTATAATTTATCATGTGATGTCCCTCTACGTAAACCTGTAATTAATCTTGCAGCCTCTAATTGTATTGATTCTAATAGGTTTTTTTGAGCTAGTGTGCAATTGTCCCACACAACATCTGCATATTCAATAACTGGTCTTATGTAGGATATATATAAGGTTGTCAAGGATTTTCTATCAATTTTATTTTTTAGTAACCTTAAGATATTTATTCTTTTAAATGCTTTTTCATATATATTAGATATGTGTTGGTTCCATTTGGCATCATCACTAAGTGTAAGGCCCAGATGTGTATGTGTTTTGCTTTCAACAATTGGTGCGTCATAAAAATTAACAATAGGATGATTCTTATTAGTTTTCCTTGAGAAAATTACAGATTCAGTTTTAGAAGGATTAAATTTAATGTCCCATTTAGTGGCCCACAGCTTAATATTACTCAAGTCATTGGAAAGATTTTGTGCCAATTCAATGGGATTATTATCACATATACCATAGAGAGAGGTGTCATCTGCAAATAATTTAATTTTACTGGAAACACAATCAACAATATCATTTATATATATTAAAAACAATAACGGACCGAGGACTGAGCCTTGTGGAACCCCTGCTTGAACAGGGTCAAAGGTTGATGTATAACCTTCAGTTAGTACTCTCTGCTTTCTGTCTGATAAAAAGTTACGAAACCAATTTAAAAGATTACCTTTAACACCATATGATTCCAACTTGTAAAGCAGACCATTGTGCCAAACTCTATCAAAAGCCTTGCTTATGTCACAGAATATAATTCTGATTTCTTTATTTTGATCTAGGCAATTAACAATGGTATGGTAAATAGACAATAATTGATTTACAGTTGAATCTTTAGGTGTAAAGCCAGACTGGTGTTTTGTAATGATTTTATATGTACTGAGGTAATTATATAGATATTTGAAAACGATTTTTTCTAACATTTTACTAAAACATGAAGTAACAGAGATTGGTCTGTAATTAGACACCTCATTAACTAATCCTTTACCTTTATAAATAGCGTTAATATTAGCCATCTTCCAGCTGAGGGGGATAATACCAGTTTCAAGTGTTTTGTTAAATAGAAGAGTTAGAGGAAAGAGAATAGATGGATGTAATTGTTTGATTATTCTGGGAATCATATCATCTGGTCCAGCAGGTTTATTAACATTCAAAAGAAATAGCTGATCTTTAACATCCTGTTGGGTTATAACAATATCATTTATGGAATTAGGAAAATCATTAGTAGTTTCAGGTATAGGTTCAGTATTTTCAGAAGTGGTAGATATTGATGCAAAGTATTTATTTAAGCATTCAGCTTTGTCAAATGGATGTTGAATAAATGAATTATTGTGTGTTAGTGGGGGAATAGAAGTAGATTTGTTGTTTATATTAAGGACATTTCGTGCAATTTTCCACCACTTGTTAGGGGGAATAGTTTTGTCGGTTAATGATTTTTGTAAATTTTCAACATACTTTTTCTTGGCATCACGTATTCTACTAATGGTTTCATTTCTTTTTTTTCTATAATTTTCCCAGTGAAAAGCCGAATTACTAGATTTTGCTTTCCTATGAGCCCTATTTCGTTGTCTTATATGTAGTCTAATATCATTAGTCATCCATTTTTTATCATTTGGTCTAATTGTTACATATTTAGTGGGTATAGATTCATTAATTAAGTGCTTTATTGTATCACATAAAATATTGTTAAATTCATTTGTATCATGTATATTGATAAGGTTTTCCCAATCTTTTTCTAAAATACATCTATTCATCTGATCATAATCTGCATCTTGATAAATAAGAATTTTCTTTCGATAGGTTTGTTTTTTAAAAACTGCATAGGAAATGTTAAATTGTATCAGAGAATGGTCACTACATATAGGAGGAAGCACAGATGCATTTTTAACTATATTTCTGTTGTTGGAAAAGACAATATCAATTGAAGTTGATGAAGTTGGAGTGATACGAGTGGGGTCTGTGATAAAATTAGAAAGATTAAATTTTGTTATTAGTCTACCAAGGTGCGAGTGGGGTTGAAGATTTAACATATTGATATTAATATCACCAGTGATCACTATATCTAAGTTAGTGTTCACAGCTTTTTCAATGACTGAATCTAAGATTTCCCAATATCTAACTGGTGATTCTGGTCTATATAGACAAGCCAGAAGAAACTTGTGCGACTCAATGTGAATTTCCACCCATATCATTTCAACTTCATCATGTTCAAGATCATGTCGTCTTTTGGTGAAAATGTTATTTTTGTGATAGATTAAGACCCCACCACCAGGACCAGTTTTTCTATCCAGCCTATAAAGATTTTCAGAGTAACATGGAATTATTAGTTCAGTATTAGGTATTTCAGGGGTGAGGTGTGTTTCGGTTAGGCAGATAATATCACTTTTATTTAATTCAGTTTCAACAATATCTGTCTTGTTTCTTAAGGATCTTATATTGAGATGAGAAATTTCTAGGTTACGCAGAGGACCTGGGTTTAACTCAATATCATTACAGCTGATTAATAAAATACTAGTCACATAGAGAAAAAAAAGTAAGTTTTTCAGATTGTGTGTATTCAGGGAACATTTATACACGATATGTACATAATAGTACACGGTTGAATTAGTCATACACCCCCTAGTGTTCCTACATGTCCCATCACGTGATATGCCTATTACTGTTTTAACCATTGTCATATATCGTTATAAAATACACTGTGACGTGAACGTGAAAAGGACACATGATATAGCGAGTACATAACGTTACATACAATAATTTGGAGGCTGGGCAAGCATAGATGTACAGTAACAGCACACGAAAAGACATTCGATTCGTAAACAAAACAATAGATAGAAACACATATATACATACAATATACAATGACATAATTACGTATAGACGACTCAGCCATTCAACATGGATATGGACCACGATGTCGTACACGGTACGTGTGTATTGTTATCTTAGAAGGTAATGTATACTAGCAATTCGATACAAACGATCTAATGACCACGATGTATAATTCCATCATAGTCACCAGACCGCTTTCACTCACTGATTGCCTACTATTGACTGGTTCGCTCAACTTATTTGGTACAATATGTAACGTTTACCAGATTTGGACCTATCAGTATCATTTCACTGTTTAAAACACATTTTAGCAAGAAATATGCCTGTATGAGTTAATTCAAGTATACCCTCAGCAATTGTTTGATAAGGACAGAGAACTAAATATAAGAAAAGTCTCTAATAAAGAGATAAAAATAATTTTGATTAAGACGAGAACGGAGCATACGAGTGAGCACGCCGATCACAACAAGCTGGTGGAATGCATTCACGTGGATTTCGCGATGATAAGAAAATATATCATGTTGGAAATAAAAGAAATATTGACCTCAGGATATGCAGCGAGTAACATTGATACTATGCGTATTCTTCTGACAAGTATGTACATTCAACACTGTAACAGTTAACTACACTGTGTAGGTCAGTGGACCATGCGAAACAATATACCTGACCACGATGTGTATAGAAGCTTTCTTTGTATACATCAAGTTATTGCTGTATTTGATACTATTTACAGGTGAAGTTAATTAGCATTAGAAATCAGTCTGGACTTGTGTTTACACGACTGAACAATCAAATGAATGGCAGGTGAATGTTATAAGACATGGGATGTAGTTCATAGATTCAAATTTTACAAGGATATAACATTGTAAGCATATACTTGTTATGAACTTTCATGAACACGCAACATATGTAATATGAACATGTATTGGGTACCAAGGTGAAGTAAGAATATGTGATGAATATTAAACCTAATAAATATATTAACATATGAATTTACACACATATACTGTAATTATATAAGCTGATTACAAAGTTTACTACCCAGCAATGTTTAGTACAATGAAGTGATTATGAGTACGTGTATATTATGATGTCACAGTTGGTATTAATTACGTCATACTTATAACGTTACGTTGGTCAGAATAAAATATGGATTGAGTGTAACGGACCTATTCTTTTGTTGAGGCCAACCTTTTTAAGAAAAAGAAATTTTAATATCGGATACAAAGTTCATGAGAAAAAGTAGAAAATGTTTATTTAATTTCCTTTGTACAGTCCTTCGATAAATCTACCAAAATACAGTGTTATAATCAAATAACAGACAGAACCATTATACGTCAATGTTTTCCAGAATTCCCAAACTGTTCTGTAAAATTGATTAAACAGGGATCAATCATGATGTGACGTCAAACTCATGTTACCATGGAAATTCCCGAATTGTTTCTGATTAACGTTCGACGTCTGACGGAACACGGAACCATAAAACGAACGAACCGAATTTTTAAACCGAATGAAAGCACAGAGAACGATAAAATAAGATGGTGTAATTTGTTTTGAATCTAAACATTTGGATTGAAATGCGTCTTTTTAACAATTATGATAGTAGGCAACATAGTTCCGCTAAGACGTCCATAATCAACATAGAATATTATAAATGTTAAAAAGATGCATTTCAATCATTAAATCAGTGTATCTCTCTAAATCGGGTTTCATACCAAATGCAACTTGTAGATAGACACAGCTAAAGCTGACATAATAACACGAAAATGCATACATTCAATTGCCAATACCAATATACGGACCAAGAACCAGACTTCTTTCAAAAAAGTTTTCGGTTTTGAAATAAATTCAGATGTTATGTATGTGTGGTTTTAATAATTTTGTCGTAGACACAACTATTATTTATGCACGTGAATTCCACAAATAACACACAACCATCAAACTATTTATACTGTATATTACTGAATTTCAAAAATATGAATTTGATTGTAATGTCTTATTGCATACATATCAATGGTGTACCAGATAAATCGTTCAATGCCTTGTTCAAATATTATCAAATAAGAATGTGGTCTAGATGTCGCATATTGTTGAAAGTCAGCGAAAACCTAGCTTTAGGTCAACTTGTTAAATCCATTGATCTCTTCAGCATTTCCTGTTTACAGTAGAAGACGACTTTTAGATCCATGTGTTTTGGGGAAGTTTCCACATAGAAATGTTTTTGCTTGGCTACTGATTGAGTGTTCCTTAAAAGCCAGTTCATGTTTTATGACCTCAAATTTCACAAGGAGCATGCAACATCAGAACGTATTTCAAACAGGATCTTGGCTTACATAACAATAAATGTTTATGGTTTATAATAAACAAATTCCAAACCTGTTCTTTCTAGCGCTGTATACCCCTTCACAGACACGGTCATTTTGACATGTTTGAAAATTACTTAATTTCAAGAAAACATTTTGAATAAACTTAACAGCTAACTCATATTTACTTGCCTAAAATGCATTTTACAGCAGACAGCATCTACGTTCTCCACACGGAGAAGATGGCGTGGCCTAAGGCACATAACGAATGCGACAAATCAGGTGGGATACTGGTGAAGATTAACAGTCAACAGGAGATGGATGACCTGCTGAGGATGGACAATGCGTTTGCAGGAATTATGTAAATTTAATCACATCTGTAACATTTCGATTAGTATCAACTAAATGGTTTGTAAAAATGTATAAATATATAACCGTAAAAAAAAAAAAACATGTTTCAAAATGAAGGAAAAACTAAGTGAACACATATTTATCGTAATGTAATATGCTATGGGTAATTGCAGGCCAATATCATTATATAACTTTGCTGTAAGCATTTTTATTTAGCGCACTCAAATATTAGCGCATTATCATTTTTAACAAATAAGCGTATTGATGAATTGGCACAGCCACAAAATATACACTACAATGGAATATATAGTAACTGGAATGATTAAATCTAAACTTTCTGTAGTGCATCTCTCATTTTGATGATGGTCTCAGTTATAACTTCTAGTTAGCATCGGTGTAAGATTTGCAATGTAAAGGTCCCGAAAAAATGCTGTTTTAACTAAAATCCTGTAAAATACATCGTAAGATGTGATTTTTATGGAATGCTTATATAGAAAGGGGATTCAACTTATTTGATATAAAAGTGATAATGACAATACTATATTTTAATCAGGAAGTACATTTTACTTCAAGAACGTTTTACCTCAAAAGTTTAAAGTTGGAAAGTAATCGCCTTTACATGATCATAACCTCTCATTCATTACATATTGGGTTGGTTTCTTTAACCATGTTGATTTAATTGTTAGACTCCTAAATAAGCCGGAAATAGTTTATAGTTTATCACATTCACCAAACACAAATTAACGAGTTTCAGACTGACCAATTAGGCATTACACTATTATCAATTTTCTAAATAAATTCAATTGTTTTTGAGGGCTCTTCCATGACATATGCAAACAGCACTGTCAGGATCAGTGTGAAGATATATCGTAACCCTGCAACTGAGCATAATACGGTTTACCTTAAAAATGTGGATAATGAATTAAATTTTTGTTCAAAAAAAGTTAATGTCATGAAGGATTTATCGACACATTTTTCCTTTCTCTGTATTTACACATGTTTCGGAACTGTTTTGAAATACAAAAATGTATATTTTCATTCATTTGATATTTAGTATCGATGCCGAACCGTTAATAAGCAAGATACATGTCTACTTTGTTTAACTGCCTGTATTGACATATGCAGTTTTGAACAGGGGCTTCTTAACTTCCTGTTTCTATGGGTTATCCTATTACCCTATATCAAAATTTAAATAAAACGTTTGTACCTATCTAACTGTAGACTTTAGTTGGAATATATACTGAATATGCAATCTCATGATCTATATTTGGTAGCGAAGCTCAGAAGGAGTTCGTTTGCTGTGCATTTCGTAAAAGCCAGTTTTCCTTTCTCAGTGGTAAAACAAGTTTATTTGGTTGCTAGATATCCTGTTAAGTTAGCATCAACATTTACATCTACCAAGCATGTGTAGATAAATGACGAAGTTTTATGGTTACATTTTTCAATACCCTTAAAATGTTTGTATTGTATTTTCATATACTTGGTTCCATGAAGTGATAGCCATTTTTCATTTATGAAAGGAATGTCAATAATATCTTGCAAGAAATTTCGTTACCTTTAAAAGCCAATGAAATCTTTGATGGGTACACTTGAAAAATGAAAAATGTCTTAATTGGTCCGAACACCTATATTGAAATCGGAAAGCCTCTACTTAAAGCTGAATTAACAAGAAGTCCGTTATAGTATGTTACGGACACACACAACTTAATCAGCCAATCAGTAAGTGTTGCATACGATTCTAATCCCTACCTTAAAATTGTTCCGGTCTCTGAATAATTTATATGCGTGTAACGCTCTAATATACCCATTAAACCTGGCAAAAATGCCCTTCGAAGCTTTTGTCAGGTATGTATTAATGAATCTAGACAGCTGTCACAAGTGTTGATCTTCAAATATAATAGATATTAGCTAAAAAGCTAAGTACTAACATAAAGTAAATTATTAAGTTTTGTGAGTCCTAAAGTATCACTGTATTTCAGATCGGGAGGCGAGTTCTGGACTGGCTTGAATACAACAACGCAATCGTGTACAGATTATATATGGGACGGTGGTTTCCCGGCAACTTGGCTGGTATGGGATCGGAATGCTGGTGAACCTGATGCCTGTGGCGACTCCAAATGTATCAGGTTAAGACATGGCCTAATGAGGACAATACCCTGTTCATCAGAATACCCATTTATCTGCCAGACACTTCAAGGTAAAGAGCTCTGACGACCCAGTATCATAAACCTGGTAAAGAGCACACACGACCCAGTATCTTACACCTGGTAAAGAGCACTTACGACCCAGTATCATAAACCTGGTAAAGAGCACTGACGACCCAGTATCTTAAACCTGGTAAAGAGCACTGACGATCCAGTAACTTATACCTGGTAAAGAACACTTACGACCCAGTATCTTAAACCTTAGCTTATCTCGATATTTTGGAAAGTATTTACTATACAGCCAGGTCAGCTTCGGGACGTTATAACACATATTTTTAATGTAATACGTTTCCACCAATTGAAAGCCAATATAACACACTATGAAAAGGTAGAGAACCTCCATTGTTCCCTTTTTCTTCTGAACAATAAAGAGGTTATATTTTTGTGTAAATTATCTAGTATGATATTCATTTTTTATTTCCGTCAATATATGTAACTTTATCGCATTCACACAGAACAAATGTATCGATCGAGGTCGTCATGGTGATGATAAAGCAGAAACTGTAAACATACTTATTCCCATTGGGATTCTATAAAAAAAAGATAAAGCAACGAAAAGGATTTTTTTTCTAGCAAAGAGCTTGTAATTTTATTTTAGGAAAGCGAGATAGTAATTAAAATGTCAAAAAAAAAAAAAAATCATTCCCAAAAGGCCCAATTGAACAAACCAGACTCAAACTCCATCTTATTTCTTCTTAAATAAATGTTTATCACTTAATTACAAATAATATTCAAATCTTTGAATACGCTGTAATGACTGTTTTCACTTTAGTTTGAATTAAGTACAAAATGAAATTACCATATATATTTCATTTATATATAATTGTTTTACTTCAAATCTTCCCGAATTTCTTCTTAGAGGAAACAACCACTACTGCACCAACAACAGCATCATCAACAACAACCACAACAACAGCAACAACTTCTACAACAAC